TTAAAATTTTAAATTCTAATAATCCACCGCCATGCCAAGTGTTCTAATATTCTTCTGGACGAAAATTGGGAGGCTAAGCTTTCAGATTTTGCGTTATCCAAGATTGGTTCCCTTAGCATTTCAAAGCCTAAGCCCAACGCGTTGACAAGAAAGGAGTCCAATGTTGTAGGTACCTATGGCTATATCCCTCCAGAGAATATGATGTGTCATGAAGTCAGTGAAAAAGTTATGTGTACTCACTAGGTGTTGTTTTGTTGGAAGTATTGTGCGGTAGAAGGGTAATTGATCGCATGGCAGCAGAAGAGGATTTGATTTCTGGGATCATTAAATGCATAACAAAACGGCTGTGTTAATGATATGATTGATCCATTTCTGAAAGAGAAGATAGCACCGGTGCGTTTGATAGAGTTCATGGAGATCGCTCTCAGTTGTATTCATCCAAATCCAAACGAACGGCCTTCGATGGGAGAAGTTGAGGTAACCTTAGAACTTGCATTGAAGTTGCAGGAGAAAGCCGAGTTGGTTATCAAGGCTGACAATCCACATGCTGGTTACGCCATCGAAGATGTATCATTTCGTGTTTCTCTCGTGGATTATGAGGAATTCTGGTTACACCAAGGCAATAGCTATTGTTGTCCAATGCAGAACTAAAAATTGGTGGGTAGAGATGAATTTGGGAAAGAGAAAGGTATTTTCTATTTTTTACTGGTGAATAGAGTGATGCAATTCCTATCCAAAATTAAATGGCGTTATCAAATTCCCAGTCATTCTTGCCTTGCTGTTATCTTCCTTTCTTTCTTTCTCTTCTTTTTTTTTTTTTTTTTGTCTTCTGCCAGTATCGATGCCAGTTTTAACTACTTTGACATTGACTGCAAGAGCAAACTTCTAAGTAGCTGGCGATATCAGCTACGCAAGTGATAAAAAAACAGCTGTTTTAGGTTTTGAATGGAGGAAAATTTGATTGAACTAGAGAGATGGATAGAGCAGATCACTTTTGCTTTTATCCCTAAGGGCACGTTTGTAGTATAATATAGGATTGGATTAAGATTAGAGAAAATACTAAAAATCTTATCTCATGTTTGGTATTTTATAAAAAAATTATCATATCTAAATCTTGAAAAATAAAGGTGAAAAAAAAAAAAAGAATTAATGATGAAACTAACATATTAAAATCACTAAAATAATTAATATAAAAGTTAGCATGAATCACTTGTTACATGGATGCCTAGACTGAAATACGAGATAAACCTTTGGCAAAAGATTAAGGCATACAATACAAACTTGGCACAAAGAGAAATGAGTAAATGAAGCTTCCTCTTGACAATTAAAATAATGTCCTGGTTCTTAAAGAGATTAAAATAATTTGTTTGCTGTAAATTTGCTGTTAAACTTTAGACTTGAACCTTGCTCTTGACAATTTTGTTTAAGCTCAGTTAAATATCAACTTCAAATTCCCAAAAACCCAACCTAGTAAAGAACAAGAACCAACCTTGCACAACAAAAGAAAAATGTGAAAGCATGAGAGGCAGCATTGAAACATCTGGGGGGAAAAAATCAAGAAAAGGGTCATAAGACAGCAATCCATGTAATGAATAAAAATATATGATTTCACATTTGATGGCTAATTAACGTCAAACGCATGTCTATTAGCAAGGTAAATGTGTGTGTTGAATGGTGAAGCCATACATCTGGAAGTATTCGATAAACTGATTTCATTGTTGGGCTGTCATCTACAGGAAACCTCAATAGATTACCACTACAAATCAAAATCTTTCATTTCCTCAGAAAAAGGGAAAATAAAAGTATGCCTTTTTGTTGCAATTTCATTGTAGCTACTAAATTGCCTCTAATAATTACTTCAATAATTCTTCATTAACAAGAAATTCAGAAAGAGAGTTGAAACTCACACTAGTACGCTGGTAGGTTGAGATATCAATCCTGAAACACAGTATTTTCTCCATACATTCCCTCTGTGGGTTGCTCAACTTTCACTCCTCCAAGGGCCTTTTTAACCTGGTGGTAGTTTGAAAGTAAAATGTAATTAATTTGCCTCGAGAGAAGCCAGTCACAAGCATGAAGAAAAATAAAAGAAAAAAGTACCTTCACTCGATCAGAATAAGACAATGGGTACATCCTTGCCCAGAAGTTGGGCAACAAACTCTATTACAGGAAGAGGCTCAATGAAAGCAGCTGAAACCATATCTAGAAACGTTATGAAGCATCCATGGATCAAAAGTGGAGCACAAATAAAAGTAAATAATGCATCATCAAGAGAGGTGGTATCAAATCAGTGTTAGGTAACAGTCAAGTTCCAAGATATGAGAGAATAAATTACAGAAGAGTTACCCGACAAAGATACAGAGTAGAGCAACAAACTAAATTGACACAAATGATAAACCCAAAGAACAAGTTTTAGAAGAGCAATCCAAATAAGGAAAGACTAGAGAAAATAATAGGTTTACAACCAATAATTGTTGTAATTGGCTTGTCCTTTTCCTCTAAAATGAAAATAATACACACAAAGAAAGGAAAGAGACAAAAAAATGGGTTAAATCAGTTTCTACTATTTTTAACAAAATATTTTATCATTATAATTCACATGTCTGAAGATAAGGGATTAACTAGTTCCACATACCTGGGCCAAGTACTTAGCCACTTGCCCTTTAGTGGGAACACTACCCCAGATTTTTTGGTAGAGAAATGTTTCAATGCTCTTGATTAGATACAAAATAAGGCACATGGTCTAACACCAGTCCATCAAACCACTATTGATTCCATCAACACAGAATGTAGACCACCATTTAATCAATGACATTTTTTTGATTCATATAACATAAACTTTTGATTTCATGAAATGAACAATAATTCATATATCAACTTCAGAAAATTAAAATTCACTCAAGAAAAGAACCAGTAGAACACACTAAAAATACAGAACATTCCCAAAACTTGATTAAACCAGATTTTAATAAAACCATTAAAAGAACCCCACAAGATATTTTCAATCTTTTAAGAAGTCCAGATACACCCAGACAAACAGAAATTTCAATAGCATCAAAAAATAGGGGAAACAATCCACAAACATATAAGCAAAATTTAATTCCAAAAAGCAGTTAAACATATAAATTATCTTAAAATAGGAATACAGTGCATTCTATGAATCACAATCCACACAAATAAGGGCAAGCTCAACAGAATGGAAGACAAGACTAGCAAATCGTTGCCAGAATAGTTGGGAATGAGAGAACGAAAGGGGATCTGAGTTACCATTAATGGTGAAAAGAAAAAGAAAAGATAGGTCTGAGACTTACTATCAGACAATCAATGCGATAGAGCCTCCTCGTCAGAGTAGCACCGGCTTCGACAACAAGTGCGATGGAGGAGAGCAAGAGATTGGGAGATAAACGGCCATGATAGGGAGAAAGAGGAGGGTGAGAGTGAGACTTTTTGTAAAGTCGGCAAAAACCCTCCGTTTGCCCTTCAACTTTTCAAATTTGAGGCATTTTACTCCTCATATTACAATATATTATTTTTTACCCTCCATATTTTCGAGTTTAGGGAAATGAGGCAAAATTTAACGTTGAATGGTCACATATAACACATGGATTGTTAATCTCCGTTATATATTCACGTGTCAATGCCAGCTCAAATTTTTTTGACATGTTGGCAAGTCCAACTTGCACCCTTGTGAGCTGGAATTCTACCCCAACAATTTAGTTTTTTTTTT